GAAGTCATGTGGGGGCGCGTGCACGGACAATGACCCACGGAGCACGGTGAGTTCGCACCCAACGCGCGCTCGTCATGCCATCTCTCTACTGATAACTAAAAAACGTGCTGAAGTTCCTGAGCTGTGAGGAATGCCGGTGTTACATGTTGTATATAAATGGCTTGCCGTGAACAACTTGGAGACGGATCGCTTTGTGGCTTAGTGGTTAGCGTCACGCGCTGAGGAGCGTGAGGTTGCTAGTTCGCAGAACTTTTTCCTCTCGTTTTTGTTTCTTTGCAATTGGTTAGCGAATGTTCTGCAATGTCACATTCGTGACGGAAACAAGACGCGGTGCTGTGGTGGATTCCGGCATAAAGCACTTTCGCGTTAAATCGCCGCCTGACCAGTAGAGGCAAGTGAAGGGAACTGTAGTACTGGTAAAACAAATCGGTCTATTGGCCAGAAGGTTTCCTTAAGTAATTAATTTTGGAAAATATCTGGGCTAAAACGCACCTTTTCCCACACTACAGGTTCAATAGAGAGACTATGTTTGTGTCGGAAGCGTGAATCTGCTGATAATTTTAACATGACGTGATCATAATTTTCTTCTCTCTTGTTTTCTCTCACTCTTTTAATTTCTCACTTCCTTTATATTTCAATACCATTATTTGATTCTCTTTTTGCGTTTTTTATAATCTCTTTTATTTTTGTGTTTATTGCATTCTTCTGCCTATTTGTCTCTTTGTCTTTATTTGAATGCTGTTCGAAGCATGGCCCTAACAACCAAACATTTATGAAAGTGCGTTTGCTGGTGAAATGATAACTGCACCCTTATATCAACTGCTACACGAAGGCCGACTAAAATCCCGAATTCGACAAAAGACTTGTCTTCTTAAAAAGCAACCCATGACCGATCGTGAATAATGCTGCCAACCCATTGGCTTTGCCCCATTTTGTGACATGGCGGTTATCGTGCAGAGCTGCTCACTGAAAGGGCGATAGCTCCATGACCAGCCAGCTGAATGCGTTTGGTTGCTGGCGGCGTCGTGCTTAGATTTATGAGTAATTCTACCTTGATAGTTTTTAGATTTGAATCCTTTGTTTTCCCTTACCATTTGTCTTATGGGATGGTCGTGCATTTCGTCCACAAAATTATGCATAGCATTCTAATTCATTTGATCCATGGTCTTATATGATCAAACTTAACTTGTCATTTCCTGTATACGCAGGCTCGAAGAACGCAGACACCACGGATGCTCCCGATACAGAATGAAACATGTACGCTTCGTTGGTGACATCACCATCAGGGCCACCTATTGTAGGCCCTTTTATAACGATGCCGCTTAACGGCACCGACTATACACCCATATATTGAACATCCGACATCATTTCCGGTTTATCACGAACTCATGATTTCGTTTCTCGTTGTCCTGCCTCCTTACAACATTACGTGTTACAGTACATGAACATTGGAGAACACGAAGGGCATTGTTGCATCTTTTACAGCGACGCTGCATTAAGCTAGCCTGAGCCAAAACTTATGCTTGATATGAACGCTGAAACTCCCAATGTGTACGTACGACACAAAACAACTAAGCCTAATTCACTGGTTTTTTTAAGGACCCTTGGCACGAACTTTGGAAACTCGAGACGCTTTTGTTGTTTAAGAGTACTCCAGGTGGGGGCCCTTCTGACCAATTATTAGTGGCGAAAGTTGCCTATATGATAAGTTAATTTTGTGTAAAAGTAAGGGTGCGTCCTCGTTCGAGTGTACAGGTGCACTCGACATGTTCTGTGGTTTGACGTAGATAAGGAGTCCCCGCAGGACGTTGAAAAGGTCAGGCAAATATTGTTGGCGTCGGAGAACATTTGCAGGGCGTGCACAATACCCCGACAAGCACGCGGCGAGGACTATTGTTCGTCACTCCTCTCGCTGTGTTGTCGGGCTGTTCTCGAGGTGGTTCTGGCTGCTTAAGTCAGGAATTCTTTTCTTTTTTCCGAAGAGAACATGTTCAAAGCATCCACGTCACTTCATTTTTCACCCTCCACGGGTCCCTCTATTGGAAAACCACGTGTTTACTGTCACCGAAGCTTGAGCACACGCAATCTGAGGCACTGTCCCGCTGTGGGGCACTAGGTATTCACGTAGGCTTTTAGAACTGGCGCAAAATTTTTGGAATTAACGAGGCTGGCATAAATTATACGATGCGTTAGAGCATTTAAGATTCTATTTCCGCCTTACCACACACAAAGCTACGAATCACTATAAAATGCCGCAAACAAAACTTTCGCTATCAGGGATCCTTTAGAGTGGAAGAATAAATTATACGATGCGTTAGAGCATTTATGATTCAATTTCCGACTTACCACATTCAAAGCTACAAATCACTGTAAAATTCCGGAAACAAAACTTTCGCCATCTGGGATCCGCCTTACCACACACAAAACTACGAATCCCTGTAAAATGCCGCAAACGAAACTTTCGCTGTCAGGGATCCTTTAGAGTGAAGTTAACACCCAAACGACAAACCCCAGCTAAGGTTTCTGCACAGACCTTAGCGTTCATCCAGAACGACTCTAATGAACCATCGTGAACTCGGTGATAAGTTCAATCGTCATACCTTCAAGCTTCGTAACGGAATGCTTGGGTAGCGATTCTCTAATTTCTTTTTTTTATCGTGCACTATTTGCCTAATTATGTAACTTGTACGTGAGATATTGCTTGGAATAATAGGTTTTGGTGTTTAGTTATTTTAATCTGGAAAGCTTTATTGTTATTTGCGTTTGAAATAAAAAAAATAGTACGGCCAATGCTGTCATACAAAACGGCAGCATTACGACGATGGCGAGCGTGCGTGCATATATAGAACATAAGAGATGAAAACTGCGTGACGAAAAGAGTATTACCACATAGAAGTTGCATGAACACAATGCAATCATTGGGGTGTAACTTCGATGGTTCATACGCGATTATATGGTGGCGGAAATCAGGTCAACACAGAGCGAATCAAATGCGGCTGCCTGCTGCACACACGCTGCTTTCGATACCTCTTTTTCGCATCACCTGTTGTGTGTTTGAAGGAAAACAATCTAGGCTATTTTGATGATGGATAATATTATTAGTAGGTAGTAGTTTACTGCTGGAAATACAAGCGAAATTAGATGCCCTGGCTGAGATATATGCATGCCTTCCTCTATAAATTGCTCCTGTGCGCGCGTTGGAAGGTCACCGACCACACAGCACCCATTAGTTTCTGGGCCCCATAACCCGTACTATAGTTATATAGCACCATGAGCCAGTCATGTTCTGCAGTCTCCGGATGGCTGCGAAGACGTTCGGCAGGTTGCGATTGTACCCCATTTCTACTACCACCATCTGATGCTTAAATGGTTCGTACACAAATAACGTGTCACCCCTGCCTTGTCGAGAAGTCGTACCTCTGTTTTAGGCCAATACTTTGTTAAAGTGCAATACTTCAATGACTACGATACATGCTCCGATTTTAAGTAAAGATGCCATGCAGGTTGTAGGTACAAAAACCTTGTTTGCGGTCCCGCTGTCATTGAAATGGTTTCTTCGTCAGCGGGCCTGTTAAACTACCCCTTCCAGCTGGACATGTCCGGCAATTAGACATCTAGTGTATGATATAAAGTCGAGGGTGACGAAACCTTGTATGTTACAATGAACTAATGGGGAAGGTTCAAAATGCACTGGTAAATGGCGAAAATATATTTAGGCTAACTTCTGTGGTCCTTCATAGGGAGCCTTGTTCACAATTATTCAGAGTGAACAAAGCTAACGGTCAAGGGGGAGCCGGAACGTCAGTATAAATATATGTTGACCCGTATTCAATGTACTTCCAAGTAAAGTAAGCTTTCACTTCTGTGCGCGAATTTCTTCGCTGGCTGGGCACACCATTATGGTATGTAGATTCTCATCTTACCACATAGTCGTGCAAGCTTCTTTTGCACCATTTCATATAATGTGATTGCGAAATGGTCTGTAACTTACCTTAACATCAGATACCTTGCGTGGTTCTCATATTGTCGACCTTGTTTCGAGCATCAAGCGCCAGTACTGTCATGTGCCTCTCAATGGCCCGTAACCCCCCCCCCCTCAAAAAATACAAAAAAAAAAAACACGGGCGTTATTCTCTCCCGGCGTTTCCGGTCTTCGAGGCAGAATTCGTGACGTCTCATCTGTTCGTTCCCGTGACGTCAGGATGAAATAAGCTCTCTATTGGCCCAATCGACAAGATGCACCCGTTGTGAATTGTCGGCTACCCGGCTTTTCTGTGCAGTCGTATGCCTGATCTGCCTAATTTCGCATGGATATTGTGTACGATAATTTTATTTCACTTCGTTTCATGCGTTTTGACTGCGGAAGTCGAGATATCAGCGTATAGTCGCGAAGTATCGACTGGCTCTATGCTTAACGCTGATACTCCACGTGTTCCCTGAAGAAATAGATGGCGACGAGTAGATCAATAGTGCCTGTAGAAAGGGAACTGAGGGAAAGAAAGAAAGTACTTTCTCACCGTCTTGGAACTCGGGGTGCTTCATGATCCTTCTAAGCAGTCCATAGGCTTCCTATTTCAAATTCTGGCCCTGCCGCGGTGGTCTAGTGGCTAAGGTACTCGGCTGCTGACCCGTAGGTCGCGGGTTCAATTCCCGGCTGCGGCGGCTGCATTTCCGATGGAGGCGGAAATGTTGTAGGCCCGTGTACTCAGATTTGGGTGCACGTTAAAGAACCCCAGGTGGTCGAAATTTCCGGAGCCCTCCACTACGGCGTCTCCTATAATCAAGAGGTGGTTTTGGGACGTTAAACCCCACAAATCATTATTTCAAATTCTGTTGTGGCGAAACAGTAGCACCACCATATGAAAGACTTATGTGGCACTTAATATTCCATAATATTTATTACTTTGAATACACAAACAAATACATAGTGATAAGCGAAAAAGTTGACGACGAATTTAGCACCGCGGTCCTTTCTTTACCGGCACGTGAGCGGTGTGCTGTCAGCCATCGCGTAAACCTTCCGTTTTCGGCGGTGCCGACGCAGTCGTTTCGGCCACGGTGACATCACCACCTTCATCAGTGGGCTGATCAAGCGCTGCCCTGGCCACGAACTCGACAGGGTCGATGAAGACGGCCGGCTCTTCGGAAGTCGATGTCGATGGTCTCAGCGCGCGATCTGAAATCGATAGTGTGTTTCCGTTAATGACAGGGATGGCGTTTCTAAATTTAGTATCGATTGATGATTGATATGTGCAGTTTCACGTCCCAAAACCACCATATGATTATGAGAGACGCCATGGCGGAGGGCTCCGGAAATTTTGACCACCTGAGGTTCTTTAACGTGCGCCCAAATCTGAGTACACGGGCCTACAGCATTTTCGCCTCCATGAGAAATGCAGCCACCGCAGCCGAGATTCGATCGCGTGACCTGCGGGTCAGCAGCTGACACCTTAACCACTAACCACTATATATATATATATATATATATATATATATATATATATATATATATATATATATATATATATATATATATAGATATATATATATATATATATATTTATTTATTTATTTATTTATTTATTTCCAATACTGCTGCTCTCATCTGAGAGCGTAGCAGGAGGGCAATACAAAAAGTGCAATATATAAAACATAAAACATTTCAGGAACAATGAAATATCTAATAAATGTAAAAAAAGAGGTTACAATAAATATAAGGCAAGAACAAATAGCGTTACCAAAATATATACAATGAATACATTTATCACACTATTGAGACAGGCCTGTAGTTATATCCTCTCTGTGTCGAGGATTAGTTGCTTGTGCCTTCAATTTTATTAACAAATTCCGAGAATGATTTGGTGTTTGTGATCGATGGATGTACTTGATTCCATTCCCTAATGGCAAGTGGAAAAAAAGAATGCTTGAAGGTTTCATTACTATATGAATATTCTGTTAGTATATTGGGATGCTGTTGGCGTGTAGGTCGGGTTTCGGAAAACGAAATGTACTTCGACACGTTTATCTTGAAACTGTTGTGAATTATCTGAAACAAGAATTTTAAGCGGGCTTCTTTCGCCCTTTCTAACAGCGTTTTTAGATTGGATGCGTTTAAAAGGTAAGTTGGGGAGTCAGTGCGCCTGTACCTGTTGTGAATAATCTTATCGCTTTTCTTTGCACTGCTTCCAGTTTCCTTATGTTAGTCTTTGTATGCGGGAACCAAACCACGTTGGCATATTCTAAAATCGGTCTTATAAATGTCTTATAGGCAAGCAGCTTTATTGGGGTGGGAGCTAGTTTTAGGCTTCTTTTAAGAAAAAATAACTTGCGTAGTGCTGCTGCGGAAACGTTATCTATGTGCTGGGTCCAGTTAAGGTCCGAAGTAAGCGTCACCCCTAAATATTTATGTTGGTTTACTTTAGGTAGCATGGTGCCGTCGACTGCATAGTTGAATATTGAGGGCTGTTTTCTTTTAGTTATTGTGATCACAGCGGATTTTTTTACGTTTATTGACATCTGCCATTGTTTACACCATTCGGATATTGTGTTTAGGGAGGCACTCAGCGCAAGGTGGTCTGTATGGCTATTGATTTCCTGATATATAACACAATCGTCAGCAAAAAGTTTTATGTTAGAGTCGATGTTTGTTGCAATGTCGTTGATATAGATTAAAAATAACAATGGTCCAAGAACTGATCCTTGTGGTACGCCTGATGATACAGAAACGGTTTTCGATGTAGCTTGTTCAAAGAATACGAATTGTTTTCGATTGAGCAAAAAGTCCTTAATCCAACTGGCGAATGAGGTGTTACCTAAGATGGCTTCCAATTTCGCAATTAATTTGTTATGGCAGACACTGTCAAATGCTTTTGAAAAATCTAATAGGACCATATCTGTTTGACTGCGGCGATTGAGGCTATGTGCAAGGTCATGTACAACTTCGGTCAATTGTGTAATAGTTGATAAACCGTTTCGAAATCCATGCTGGTTGGGAGAAAAAAAATGTATTTGTTCAAGAAAAGATGTGATGTGTTTAAAAATAACATGTTCTAGTAGTTTGCACGATGTACTTGTAAGAGATATAGGTCTATAGTTCGATACCAGGACTTTATCTCCGGATTTATGTATTGGTATGACTTTAGCTAATTTCCAGTCAGACGGTAATTTAGCGAGCTGCAAGGATTTCCTAAAAATTATTCCGAGATATTTACTACTCCATTCCGCGTACCTTTTAAGAAATTCGTTCGGAATGTTATCGGGACCACTAGATTTCCTGGGATCAATTTTCAATAAAAGATTCATGACACCGGCATCTGTAATGATTAGGTCATCGATGGTCGTGGTAATGCGCGAACTAATAGAGGGTACATTTTTATTTTCAGCTGTGAATACAGATTGAAAAAAGTTGTTAAATGACTCAGCTTTATCTTGTTTTTCTTTTGCAGATAGTTGTGTCACTGCCCCCTTTACACTGAAATGTTTCCAGAACCTGCGAGGGTTATTTGCAAGGAAACTCGGCAGAGTTACGTTAAAGTAATGATCTTTTGCCGCTTTGGTTTTATCTCGTAGATCAGTCTTAGCGTTCTGCAGTTTTAAAGTTATCGACTGGCTTTGGTTATTTTTTGCTGTTTTACGAAGACGATTCACGCGACGTTTTGAGTGAATAACTTCACGCGTGATCCATGGGTTTGACCTCTGCTGTTTTCTAGTTTTTTGGGGAACATACTTATCGATACAAAAAAATATAATTGATTTGAACTTAATCCATAGAGCGTCTATGTCACATGATGCGTCCGACGCGAGTTGTGAAAAGTTGGCAAACTCGTAGTCTAAGTGTGTTAGTATGCTGTTGTCGTCTGCTCTTTGAAAGTCAGCAATCACAGACACTTCGTCACGATTGATTTGGGTATTGCTAATAGGTAGAATGCATAGCGGTATATCGTGGTCCGAAATGCCTTCAATAATACTCGATTTAACGGCACTTATCGGGAAGTGTTGGCTGAGAAGGATAAGATCCAGGATGTTTTTAACGGCACCTTGTGTGCGCGTAGGCTCAGTTACGATTTGTTGAAGGTTAAAGGCAAGCATAATATCAAGGAGAGCTTCAGAGGCTGCTGACGAGTGATGCATAGTATTCCATTCTATGTCAGCAAGATTGAAATCACCCATCAGCAGTACTTTCGAATTTCTCACATTTTGATGCATGAATTCTTGAATGGCCGATATACTTTCATGACCCGATGACGGGCTCCGGTAAACACACCCAATGAACACAGTCCCTGAGTCACACGTGAGTTTACAAAAGATTGCTTCAGCTTCTAAATTGTGCGCCAAAACGTGGAAGGAAAAGCGATTCTTTATCAGCAGAGCAACACCACCCCCTCGCGTCAGACGGTCCTTGCGGATTACAGAATAACTTGGGGGAGCAATTTCAGAGTCGTACACGTCAGGGGTGAGCCATGTTTCAGTAATAGCCACAACATCAGGTTCATATTCAAGCAACAGATTTTCAAGAGCTTCGATTTTGTTTAGAATACTTCTAGCATTTATATTCAGTACAGTTATTTCTTTAATTTTGTGCCTTGACGAGTGTAAGGCCGCCCCTTCGTGTCGTCCTTTTTTTGACGAAGCAGAACTTTGTCATTTTTTTCGTTATTCCAAACGAAGGCTTGGCCATTAATATAGAGTTTGTCGAAGGCTAGTGACACCTTCTCGTGTTTCTGTCGATTTTCTTTTGCACTCTCCCAAAGCCTCTTTCTGACTTCCCGTATTTTACGCGAGAAGTCTTCACCAATGGACAAGCCAGAGTTTTTCAGTTTGTACCCATTTTTGAGTATTCCATTTTTTGTCTAGAATCCAGCAGTTTGAAAATCACTGGTCTGACTTTATTTGTCTGTGCATTCCCTAATCGGTGTATACGTTCGATTGCAACTGGTTCAAGTTCCAGTTTTTCTTTAATAATACCTTCGTTTACGGCTTGTTCTAAGCTTTCACTTGTTTCTCCCTCCTGTTCAGCTAAGCCGTACACAATAAGGTTTGACCGGCGGCTTCGATTTTCAAGGTCATCTATTCTTTTTTGCAGTGTTTCAATTACCTGTTTTATGTTTAATATTTCACCGTGAGAAGCTTCGACTTTCTTTTCTAGTTCCGTTATTGCGTCAAGCTTTTATCAATATCGGTCAGACGCTTCTCTTTTATCTCTTTTATGTCGGAAGCAATTTCCTTTATCTGTCTTGCGATTTGGGTTAGCTCAGGCCCAGGGTTTGTTTCAATATCGCCCCCAAGGAGCAATAATTTCTTCGCTAGGTCTATACATATTGACACAATTCCACAAAACTGCCGCGGGCACAGCAGCACAAGCAAGAAACGGTTGTCTGATCGAATACAAATTCCATGTTCCCTTCTCACCTGCACGATGAAGACGAAGGGGTTAAGCGTCCGCATTGCCTGAGTGCCGCTGTGCCCACAGCCTGCGTTGTTTGGTGCGGGCGCTTTTGTAGTCGTGGTTATCCGTGGTGGCGCTGCTTGTAGGTCGATTGCACTGGTTGCCTTGTAGTGACGCAACACAGATTCAACTGCCACGAAGAGCAGGATATCTGGTGCGTGTAGTGTCGGTGCGTTGAATGCCTGCGCAGTCCACGTGTCCGTGGTCAAGATGGCGTTTCCACCGCTGACAGAGAACAGCAAGTCCGGGAAGAGCTGCAGCATCTGCACGATGAAGACGAAGGGGTTAAGCGTCCGCATTGCCTGAGTGCCGCTGTGCCCACAGCCTGCGTTGTTTGGTGCGGGCGCTTTTGTAGTCGTGGTTATCCGTGGTGGCGCTGCTTGTAGGTCGATTGCACTGGTTGCCTTGTAGTGACGCAACACAGATTCATAGTGATAAGCGAAAGAGTTGACGACGAATTTAGCACCGCGGTCCTTTCTTTACCGGCCCGTGAGTGGTGTGTTCTCAGCCATCACGTAAGCCTTCCGTTTTCAGTGGCGCCGACGCAGTCGTTTCGGCCACGGTGACATCACTACCTTCATCCGTGGGCTGATCAAGCGCTGCCCTGGCCACGAACTCGACAGGGTCGATGAAGACGGCCGGCTCTTCTGAAGTCGATGTCGGCGATCTCAGCGCGCGATCTGAAATCGATAGTGCGTCTTCGTTAATGACAGGGATGGCGTTCCCAAATTTAGTATCGAATAACGAGACATGGCAGAGCAGGGGGCACCGCTTGAACTTGTTCAAGCCAGGTTTCCGTAAGCCTTATAGCTATACGCAGCTGTTTTACAGTGTGGCAAACTCGTTGAAAAAGTGGTCGCTCCATTCCCAGAAACGGAAGAACCATACCTAGCTACCAAACCCCATCGTAAAGTTAGCCACTATGTTAGTCTGAAATAAAAACCCCTCACCAAGTAAGTGAAATTAGCCTTAAATAAACAAATTGGCACCGTATCTGCAAGTTACACTGCAAATGTCGTCGAAAGCCGATAGTCTTTCGCCTGGAGTGAGTGAACAAAACGTTTATTTGATGTTCTGCGCAGGGAAATTGGTGAATGGTATTCTCGAGGCGCTGCCTTAGAGTGTCTCGAGCGTGCAGCGGAGGCGAACGAGCGCTTCAAGCCACGTCACACGTGAGACATGGGCGCTATCTGGCTGTTATCTTGGGAAAAGAAGCGCGCGGGCCCTGCGCGCCCATCTCAGATGTGATAAGATAGACCACCGCGGCGGTGCGCGAAGCATAGGAATGGAAGGTGAATGTAGTATAAGTTTTGTTCAGCGAAACAATACATCATGACGCCAAAAATACGTACAAATGTCATCAACACACACATATGTTGAACAGTCGCATAAGGCTTACATAACCAGTTCTTTATTAATGCGTAACGATGCAAACACACTTGAGGGAGATTACGGCACCAGAAGCGGTAAACTTGCAGCGCTTGGGCATGTGATGCTGGTAGCCTCCTGGATAGTGCTACGTAGAATAACTGCAGCAGGTGGCATGTAACTACAATTTACGTAAACCTTACGGGTCACCTGCTTTACAGGAGTACATTTGTAATGTTTATGAAACTAGATAGCCGGCACTGCAACTACAACTCAAGTTCCGTCAAGATTACGCTGATACGGACACTTCTTCACAAAGCAGCCCTGTGGTAAAAATCGCGATCGCCCAACATATGGGTTCATCTTTTGCAGGTGGAAGGCATTTCTAATTTTCTTCATTCATTGGTTCGATGGAACCGAAGTCAGTTTTTAAAGACGATTGACTCTCTTAGGATACTTCAAAGAAGAAATTTTGGTCTTTGTCTGTCTTATTGTTGGTCTGTCTGTCGCATTATTGAGAAACCCAGTGAAAGGTTAAGCACTTATTCATTACCGAGTCAGATTAATCTGGCGGCTGCATTCACACTTGTAATCATTGCTAATTAGGAAGCAAGCTTTACACATATTTGAGGTAATCATAAATAAATCAGGTGCTACGCAGAGTGTTTCTTTATTTTGAAAATGCATAGATACGTAATTCTAAAGACCGCACAGTTTATTACGCTGCCATGATAATGCGACGCTATCAGCGTAAAAACGGGTGTATCCTGCAGTTTGCGACAACGACGTTGAATATTCTGTTTTTCTGTTTCAAATTGACATGATGTCGACTGGGACAGTGCGGTTGTGGTAGTTACTTAATAAAATCTAGCTTCGTCACTTGATCTCAAATTGTTACTTTTACAAACCGCTGATATCAGCCAGAAACGCCATGGCAGCGTCTTTTTCTCTGCTTATGTATATGTTTGTGCCATCTTTTTTAAGCACCTGATCAGTAGACCTTTGCGTCAATGTGATAGCTGAGCTGGCAGGTTTATTTCGCATTTGGTCGGAATATTCTCGTTTGTTTCAGTATATATGCCATTTAAATATTGTAGAGAATAGTTTAGGAACCTCTTTGTCACTCAGACACAATCAGAGCTCTGCATCAGCTGGATACTACCAACTAAACACGCTTGTTCTCAGTAAAATCTGCTGTATAGTTTAGCTCATCTCTCGATCGCTCGTGCAGAAGCGGATACCGCTGCACTGTGTATTCTGCGCAAACACTTATAGTTATGGAAGTACACTTTTGCCTCCTTCAAAAGCCACCGGTACTTGCTGCCTTAGTTGTTAAAAACATACTCGCAGTGCGACCAACGCAACAGTTTAAGAGCACAGAATAACAACCCTACGTAAGCCTACTCACGGCTGACGACCATGACGAGCACCAGTGAGAGCATACAGGTGATCGAGGCGACAATCAGCACCTTAACCCACGTGTACGGGCTCAGTAGAGGAGGTGGCCTGCGTCCACAAGAGGGCGTTTCATGGATGTATCAACCAATACACTCTAGCAGTTTGCCCCCACTAAACAATGATTCGAATGCATGAAAGGTGGTGGCTTTGTCAGGAATGATAAGTAAGGAAACTACTGCCGCTATTGTGTGGTCGTTGCGTTAATCATTCATGCCAACGCTGCATAAAAAAATCTGCAAATTCAACCCACGAATGCAAGAAATAAGTCAAGACATCGCTAACGTGGGCTCTATCATTTCTAATGTCCGTGTTTGTGCAGACAGTTATAGGACACACACAAATATATATATATATATATATATATATATATATATATATATATATATATATATATATATATATATATATATATATATATATATATATATATATATATATATATATATATATATATATATATATATATAGGCAGTCATGGTGGTTGAGTGGCCGTAGCGTTGCATATAGTCCAGTATATCCTCCGTGAGTGGTCACAATGTGGTTTATTTCGACGTTTCGGCCTAGAGTCTGGCCTTCATCTGACCTTCATCAGGCCTTCGAATAACGCGTTCGATGCTCGAACGCGTTATTCGAAGCTCGTAGGTTCGATTACTGCTCATGGCTGGTTATTTTTTCATCCACTTTTCTTTCTTCTTATTTACATTGCATTGGTTATAATAACTTCGTCTGTACATTCCTTGGAATTACTGTCTGTATTATCTCATTAATATTGTGTTAAAACAAGGAAAAACGAGCCCTTAGGTATACACTTCTTTCCCATATATACATACATATATATATATATATATATATATTGTAACGACGAGAAATAAGAGACAACGCCTTTGCTGCAGGCCGGCTGTTCTTATTCTGCTTCCTCTTCCTCGGCTTCCGTAACCCTGCCTCCGCCCTTGCCTGAGCCCCACTATTTATTATCATTACACTCGGCCCCGACTGCGAGCCTCGTGGGCTACCGACAATGTCTCCGGTGGGCGGCATTGACTATTCCGGGGTGGCCGGGCTCGGCCAAGCTGATATTTCACATGGAAGTTTGTTGAAGGAGATTCCGGAGGACGACACTGGCTGTGACGTGATGGTCGGTGCAGGCGTCGTCCACGATGGGCCAACGCTGTTGACTTGGACAAGATGCCGCTAGCAGGAGATACAGACTCCTGCAAAGTGGCCGCGTTGGTTTAATCTCGTCGGTTTGAGCATCCCGTCGCAGTCGTGTTACAAATGCTGGAAATAGTCCACGCTGCACCGTCACCTGCTGCACTGAGCGTCGACGCCTGCGTTGCTTGCGGTGTGGCAAGGGGCGTCGGGGTGTCTTGGTAGTCATCTGAGAGCCGAGTTCAGGTTGCAGCTTGAGAGGCAACGCGTGCTCTTGCAGCACTGCCTTTGTCGGACTCATGCTCAAGCTGCTTATTCCTATAGTTTCACGTGCAGTAGAGCCTTCATTGTCAGATGACCTGTCACTAACCGGAAGTATTACCTTCTCTGGTAGGTCTTTGCTGACAGTGACTTTGAAGGAGGCGGCGCTTAGCGTGTGGCAGACGTCCGCACACTCGGCCACAGACTGACGTGATATCAGGAGATGTCGCTTCGAAGTGAGGGTCAGCACTGTAGGGTTGTTCGTCCCAGGGTAGGTGGTTAAATTGGCTGTCGGGAAGCTGCAAAATACAGCTGAAGCCGCGAGGGTGGTCTCCTTCTCGGATCTATTCTCGGTAGCGGTCGCGTAAGACTGGGTGGTCGTGGAGAGGTGATGGTGACTCCGTCCAAAAGCAGCTATGAGCTTGTCACTCCAGTCCACCCAGGACGTCTGCCGCACGCCTTCGTATCGATGCCAAGCCGCGGCAGCATTCCGAAGGCGGTCTATGGCCATGCCCCACTTCTTTTGGTCCGTCCACGCTGCGTGATCTCCGACAGCGTTGACGGTTGCCACCCATTCCTTGGCATCGTCCTGGAAGCCGCGAAACTCCGGTAGCTCGAAGGAAATCGGCGATGGCGGGACTGCGGGCAAAACTCCGAAATGTGCCCACGCCAAGCAGTTCACTTGCTCTGATACCTCCGTGAGAGAACGCCCGAGATTGCGACGGTTCTCGGGCGAGCTTACCTCGAAGTTTTGTGAGGCGGCCGCAGCCAACATGGCATTGAGTGCGCACAATGTTGGCAAGATGGCAGGACATAGCTGGGAGCTCGACGCTATGAGGGCGTTGGTCGTGACGCGGAGTTGCGCGATGGTATGCTGCAGCTCCGCTGCGCTGTCGTGTGATCCGCACGAAGAGCCAAGGCCCGCCTCTGCGGAGGATACAGTGACTGCGGTACTCGAGGTGGTACAATTGCTGACCAAGGACGCGTGGACGGCGTCCCTTGGAAATCCAGCTGTGGTAGGAATCGTGGACATGGGTTCCAGGGCGCTGGAAGCGTCAACGACGTTCCCAGGCAAGCGGAACCCATGTGATGAGTTGTGACCTGGTACTGCGGCGTAGATGAAGCGGTCTTGCGCCGCCGGGTAGGCCTCGACGCCGTACACGGTGGGTGCTTGAAGCGCCGACAGGTTGCCAGGTATGGAGGAGGCATGTACGCCATCCCTAGGTGAGAGAGGCCCGTGCGCATGGTTGCCGCGACGTGTCGCGTCCCAGGACAAGTTTCCCGGAACCACAACGGAGGCCTGGACGCCATCCGTCGGTGCTGGGATGGATGCTGGCCGCGACGGACGCCTTGCGGGTTCCATCAGCGAAGAAGCGTGACGGCGTTCCTTATCGTGATCTGGTACCGGTAACGGGTGCTGGAGCCGCCGAGGAGGCCTTGACGCCGTCCCTGAACGGTGGTGTCAGTAAACAGCTGCCGAGGAGGGCTTGACGCCGTCCTCAAGCGACGCTTACCGCGGCTGCACGTCGGCGGGCGTTGTGGATGACGAAACCGAGACGTAAGCCGTTTTCTTCGTCGACTGCGCCATTGTAACGACGAGAAATAAGAGACAACGCCTTTGCTGCAGGCCGGCTGTTCTTATTCTGCTTCCTCTTCCTCGGCTTCCGTAACCCTGCCTCCGCCCTTGCCTGAGCCCCACTATTTATTATCATTACAATATATATATATTCAGGGTAAAAAGAGCCGACCGACTCATTAACGGGAAACCCTTCCTTTACGCACGCCGCACGCCGACCAACCCATTACGGGGAAACCCTTTCTTTACGCACGCCGTCACGGACCCTCCCGGCACCACGGCGACAATCTTGGGTGGCTTGACACACGTCGAGAACTGAACAGCAGGTGATAAGAACCGTATGTGGACGTACACGGACAGTTGGTTTCGTTCTCAGTGTTGACAGTGGTCCTTCCTCTTTTTTACTTTCTTTCTTTTCTTTCTTTTTCTTTTTCGTCTTTTTCCCCCTTTTTTGTTTTTTGTTTTTTCCCTTTTTTAGTTCTCTCTCACTCTCGCAAACATGTTTCAAGGCGAGAGGGACGCGGCAGCAACAAAGTTTGGAAATTCATGTCAGTATAACTCATCCCCTGATGAAGGGAGTACCCCTCCCGAAACTGTTGGGAAATAAATATATTTATCCTTGTTGACAACGCTCCCGTTGTGCCATATCCCACACACACACACACACACACACACACACACACACACACACACACACACACACACACACACACACACACACACACACACACACACACACACACACGCACGCACGCACGCACACACACACACACACACACACACACACACACACACCACACACACACACACACACACATATATATATATATATATATATATATATATATATATATATATATATATATATATATATATATATATATATATATATATATATATATATATATATATATATATATATATTTAAAGCACTGACATAAATAAATCGGGAAAAATCCAGGGCCCTCACAGGAGATCTTAATGAACGATCCCATTCTCGTCAGCGGGCTGCGTTAAGCAACAAGGGTGACGTAGCTCATGCCATCCAGCTTAATAAAGGCAACGTGTATATATACACCATTTCCCATTGGCTTACTATCAGTGGGCTTTAGGAAACATTCTCAAACAAAGCTTGTATGTCTCTCTTGTAGTTATGTAGCTTGAAAAATGAGGCAGCTAGTTCCCCCGAAAAGTAGAACCAGCTAATACACCATGGTAGGTGGTAACCATATATCAAAGAAAAAGCAAGCAAGCAAGCTTATCCTACCATCCAGCTACTTTCAGCAGCGACGCTTACAATTCAATGTCTAGGACAATCTGAGGTGAACGTTTCGCTGATGTGCATTCGAACTGTACTTTTCGCTACCGTCCCCGTTATCGTTGACGTCGAATTACGCCAACAAAGGAAACGGTGAACAAACGCCGGCGAAAACGCTGTAGGTAGTTCTGCCCGAGGAAGTTTAAAAAAATGGCCCCGTATCTGCATGTAATCTGCAAATGTCGTCGAAAGACGATAGTCTTGCGTGTGGAGAGAGTGAAGAATTTGTTTGGTGTTCTGCGCAAACAAATCGGTGAATGGTATTCTGAAGGCGCTGCGTCAGAGTGCCTCGAGCGTGTAGCGGAGGCGAACGAACGCATCAAGTTACGTAAAACGCGAGACATGACCGCCATCTGGCAGTTTTATAGAAAAACAAAGCGGGTGTCTCTGAGAAGGGTGTGTGCGCCCGTCTCAGAGGTGATAAGGTGTAGAACGCAAGGCGACGGGTAGGTGCCACCACCGTCTCGTATCAAAGCGTTAGAAACACTCACCTTTTCGAGCAAGCGTTGCACTGTCAGCGCAGCATGACAAGCGCTACGGTCCTTAAAATTACTTATGTATGCTAAGGCTCAATAAGAAACCATATTCATGGCGGTGTGTGTTTTGTGTCCTTTTGTGTCGTGATCGAGCCCAGCCAGGCTGTTCGCAACGCTTATCTCGCGAGCCTACATTCGCACCCTCACTGCGAAATGGCGGTATGTTCGAGTGTCTTTCATTGTACCTTTCGCGATAGAATTTTAAGAACGCCGCCTTTAGGGGGGCCGTACCTAACACTTTAACAGTACGCTCTCATCGTCATGTGCTGCCGTGGGTTTGCGCAACGTGTAGTAAACTTGCACTATGGCGTAACGCCAGTCAGAAAACCACATATTCGCACATTTCATAGATGGTGGCGTCGCCATGTGGCATACGTCGTAACTGTCGTTTGGGGGATGGCCGCGCTGCCACCCCATGCCCTCGTTCAGTGGGCCTCACTTTGGCGGCTCACTGGTGCTTTATATTTTGTCGCTGGAAATTTCTACTACGGTTATTGTGAAGTACGTCAGACAGTCACTGTGAGTCGTAGTAGCAATAATTTAATCTTTATTGTTTGCTTGCTGAGATAGAAAAATCACAAAATATGTTGGATTCAGCTGTGCAGACGCCGTGCAGCCAAAGGCGAGGTTTCCTGCTTTGCACGAGCACGGCCGCTTGGTCTTCCCCGGCCGTGGCACGAGCAGCGTTCACAAAGCTGTACTCCGCAGCTGACGATGTGCCCGGCGCTCTAAACTTCTTTCCCGCCAATATACGCCGCACACGCGTTTCTCAACACACAGTGTGGGATATAATACTTGCTAGAGTCGATGACCTTCTCAGCAAAACCTTGACAACACGGTGGCTGCAGCCGAAAATACTACACAAGTCGAAGTGATGGGCACACCGGTGGCGGCTGCCGGCGCGCCGGCTGCACGATTCCCCAAACGACAGCCATGTTGGGCTTGCACCAGTGACCTCCCTAGGCAGTGAAAGTTGCGAATAGTTTGGCCATTTGAGCACTCGCTCAGGGGAAAAAAAGTCTTCTTCCTCTTTTTGTTCGAGGGCCTTTACGATGATATCAATAAACAAAAATAAAGAAAGGCACAGGCAAAACTGGAAAAGTGACGAACAAAAAAAAAGAGGCGGAAAAAATTACACAAAACAAAGAAAGGCGACACACCTTCTTACTGTCTTCAGGGTCAGCGTCACTAGTGAAAGTGCCCTAATTTCTTTATTGACCTCTTCTGTGCTTTGCGAAGAAGGGTATAAGGATGACGCAAAGGGAATAAACGCTGTGATTAGAATATAGCAGCCTGCATGAAAATGTCATTGAAAAATTCACGTGATTTTCCTGAAGGGAACCCTGATGGAATGCAAATTTGTGCACAAGTGGCGTCACGGGTTAAACGGTGCTAACGCGGGTGCTGCGGTGAGCGCTGGAACACTCGTTTGAAGCGATGGCTGGCGTAAGTGTTGCTATGGCAATCTCGTCAGGTTTATTGCGCTTGAACCGACGATCTCGGTGGTGTAGCGAGCGGCGGTAGCGGCAGGTGTAGCAGGTGAACGGATAAGGTGGCAGGTGTGGGCGCTGCAGCGAGCGCACGGCAGGCGAGGGAGAGAGTGACGTCAGCGCTCCCTGCGTGGGAAGTGTAACGTCAATGAACAGCTATGGCATGACCTACTTGGCACCGCTTTAACACCCGTGCGGCACGTTTGTACGGATGCACGGAGGGACAGCATTACACAAGCTTGTCAAAGAGCTGCTTCGCGCCTAAAGAATTGCGAGTTTTGCTAGAAGAGCGACGCAATGAGCGTGATCGAAAAAGTTACAATGTCACACGACGAAAAGGAAGCAAATTAACCCTTTATTGACGAGACAATAAAATACTTGCAAAAACATTTATTTTCTACATATTTACAATTGTTGCAACAAGACTAAGCATATTTCATAAAAAGAAAAAAATTCTGCGTATAGTTTCTAAAATACAGCTTTGTTGCCTGTGGGCAACAGTAGGCACGAGCCATAAGGTAGGCTTCACTGCGTGCTTCTTACGGGTTAGTGTGGAATTTGTGCATGCACTCCTTCCCTGGAGTGAAACAAAGGTGTACGTTGCACTTCCTGCACATGACTCGCGTGATTCCTGTGCAGTTTGGGTATTTACAACGGCCTTTTTTTGCAGAAAACATCGGGAGATGGTCGATAGTGTCGAGCCTTATCTCCTTGCATGGAACAGGAGCTGATGGCCCGCGCCGCTTCTTCGCCTGCAATTCATTCTCGACTTTTGATGGGCCCAATGGTCGCTTCCTCGAAGGGGTTGATACCTTTCCCTGTTGCTTCAGCGCGCAGGAAATGTCTGCTTTGAATGTTAGCAGGGTCATTTGGTGCTTTCAAGGCACGTTAGCCGCGGTGGCATCTCGGCGGTAGAGGAGCCAGCAGTTGACAACTACTACATCCAATAAATGAAAAAAGAGCCTCCTGTACCACTTTTTTGACCTTACGTGGATGCGGTAGAGTGCCACAAGCATGTCCAAAAGATCAACACCTCCCATGCAATCATTGTAGATGCCGACAATAGCAGGGCGGGGTATGCTCACAGTCGTTCGGGTCTTCTTGTCGAAGCGCTTCACGGCCTGCTCGGGTGACGCTGAAGCAAACGTGGACAGTAAAGTCACGGGGCGGTTGTCAAACCACTTGACAGCCCTCAGGCTCACCCCTTCAAATGTGGTCGCCATTTCCACGTAAGAGCCACGCCCTTTCTTCTTCAGAACTTTGTTGGATGGAAGTTTGCATCCTTTTAGGCGAGCCTCGCGTACTGTCCCTACGGAACTGATTCCAACCTTCTTGAGGACTACTTGTAAGTCCACGCCGCAAAACCAATTGTCAAAATACAAGATGTAGTCTAGACCGCGGGGAACGATACTCGCCATTCGCAGGACGATGTTGCCACTTGCCCCGATGTCGGGAAAACCTTGCTGAGGAAGAATTTTGCCTGTGTAAACTTCAAAGTTGTACATTATGCCGCGTTCATCGCAGAGAAGGAAAAGCTTATAACCCCATTTTTTTCGGCTTATTGGGCAAATACTGCTTCAATGAGCTGCGGCCTTTGAACGGCACCAGCTGCTCATCAACGCATAGCTTTTGAGATTTTGGTATCTCGTGGCATTTGGCGACCAGGTGGTCCAACAGGGGCCGCACTTTGTAAAGCCTGTCACGTTCGGGGTCATTCTGGTCTGGTGCTTCCTGGTTGTTACTAAAATGCAGTGACTGCTTGATTTCTTCCAACCTGTCTCTCGTCATGGTGTCGGCGACTTGACTGACTCGGAACCTCTGCGACCAGTACATGCGTGTTTGAGGCAGCTTCATAAGCGACATAGTGAGCACTGTACCGATGAACTGCTCTAAATCATTGACTGTCATTGAAGTAACTTTGTTGGGATTCCTCTGAGCGCTATACAGGGAGGACTGCTCACAGATGTGAGACAGGAATGTCACGTCAAAGAAGTTTCTGAAATAGGTGATGGGCGACTCCACCGGGGATGGGTAGGGTGGTACGTCTTTCCACTCAGGCATGGCATTACTCGAGGAGCCTCGGACAGCCTTCCATGTGGGAGAATCCTTCGAAGGCTTGGGGATTTCTTCAAGCGCATTGTCGATACTGCCCGCGCTTGGAGCTCCTGAGGCCTCTTCATCCTCACTGTCAGCTGGCGGTGGTGTAAAAATTGCACAGAAAATGATTGCGATGTCAACAAAGTGCAAGAAAAAGCCAACAAAATTACAAATAGTAATTACTCTCGTAAATTTTATCAGTGCTCTCTGTGTTCAGTAAAATCTATTTTCTGCTAAAGAAAAAAGTTGCGGAAATACTGTTTCGCTAGCTGGCCTAAACAATGACACTGTTTGAAATACACAGAGCCAGCCTGCTGCAAAGCGTAAACGGAATGCCAGACTATCCGCGTCCCACGCAGAGCTGCCTGTGGCATCGTGCATAATGAATAGCACAGCATAAACGGAGACATCCGTTTATGCTGTGACATCTAGAAGCGTCTGCTGTGAGAGATGCCGACAGCCTCAAGTGAAAGCGCCGGGCCACACAACCTTTTGTAATACAAGCAACCCCTTCCTTCACCTCATCCCGCTGCGCTTTATCATGCAAGAGACCGTACTTTATTCGTCAATCGAATGATAGCGTAGTTCCGACTGACACGACAAAATAAATACTTACTTGTCCGGGCTAAAACAGCGTTTTCAGGCTCTTCGTCGCTCGATGAATCCAGGTCAGAGTCATCACTGTAGTCAGGGGGCACTTTTGCAGCACATTTTTCATAAAATGCACCCGGGTCCATTCTTCGAAATCGTTGCTTTGTCTGCGTGTCCTGCGTGAGGTGGTGCAGCGATAATGGAAGCAGTGCAGGCAGAGGAGCGCGCTACCAGACAAAATTGCACAGCGCAACCTTAGCGGGATGAGAAACACAGCATTGTGCCTCGTGTTGCCTGTAGGCAACAAACACCTCACGCGCCCGTACGGGCCCAAATTAGCAGCGCCGTTTATATAATTTGACAACGAGAAAAGTGAGGCATTTTTCTAAGTCATTGCAAAAAGCCAGAGAGAGAACAACGAATGCTTACCCGGAAATAGATGTTCGAACGCTGAAGTCACGTCGTAGAGCGCTCTGCAGAGATTTGCGCGCCAAACTTCTTTTTTCTCTTCGTCGGTTTCTTAGTTACAAATCAGAGGGCGCCACACATCCATGTGGCAGTAACATGTGGAGACTTTGGAGGGAAAAAGAAGCTCGCGAAACCGAAAGTGATCCAAAAAAAAAAAAATATATTTTCCGCTATGTTGCCTGTGGGCAACGTTCGTCAATAAAGGGTTAATACTTTCGCAAAGGACGCTCCGAAAAACCACACGTAGGACGACCGTGAACTTGCACCACGCCGCTCAAAACAAAAAGAACGCTCGAATACACCATGCAGGTATACACAGGATGAACGCGAACTAAAAATGTCGCTGCTGTTATTTTTCAATATTGATCTGCAGGCTGAAAGTGCCGAGTATGCCAGCACATCCTTGTTGAACACTGCAACGCATGGACTGAACGCTCTGCTCATTATGCGGCGTGTGACATGCGAAGAATTGCTTGCTCGTCATTCAACATCGCGGATGGGCACACAAATGAACCCACTTTTAATGTGCGTCGCAAGCGCAGTTGAAACAACAGCCAGATGCATTGCTTTAAAGGGCACCCTTCGCACCATCCCACGAGTGCTACGGGACACACCGGAGCGCCCCAATATCTGCGTACAGCAATTGGTGAATTCTCACGGTTGGTATCCCAAGCAGCGAGTGGCACCGGAGAGAGCTGTATAAAATGGTGGACTGTGGAACCGGAGGTCACAAGTTCGAAGGCTTGTGGTACACGTCGGAATATTTCTCCGTTCGCTTTATTTTTGTTTACCGCTTTAGTTTATGTGCACATACATGTACGTAACCTGGACATGACGGCGTCGGCAAATCCTCACCGAATGTGTCTATAAAATAGTAACCACAATAAAAACAACGTTGTTACAAGCACTACCACAGGAATCAGCGCTTACTCGTCGCCGGAGTCGTCGTCCGTGTCTGTCAAGGTGCGTTCCGATGAACTACCTCTCTCGCCTCGATCGGAGTCTGCATTATGAAACGAAATACGATTGCAAATGGCACACTTGTCTACACGCAGAAGTTAAAGCTGTTACCGCTGAAAACAAAGCGTCCTATATGCATGCAAGCTCCCGCAACAGGTTCCCCTGAAGATTCGTGCTTGAGCTTACGAAAAAGTATTTTTTTGTTTGCTTCCTAAGTGAAAGTTTCGTCTAATCGTGATGCAGGACGCAATACCAGGTATACTGTTCATTCATGGCGTAAACAATGTAAAAACCATGATCTTTTGTTAATTCGAACTGACCGTTTAGGAATTCCACAAGCATATTTGTCGACTATATTTCAATACGTGCTATTCAGTGAAAAAATTCTGCGTATGTCCCTGAAATGCAGTGATTCGTCTGCGAAAATATTGTAAATATTCCTTTCTGGTGACTGCGCAGCATCTGACACACGTTTAGTGGCCCGGATGCAATAAATTTTTACACTTAAGCCATGAAGGTGAACTAATTAGCCCTTTAAGTAGTGTCATGCATAATTACCACTTGCAGTACTGCTTGTATTCTTAACGCTATCGAACATTTTCTTAGCCGGAGGGAAGTACAGGGTTTTCGATGTGCGTTGCGTCCGGGTGCACTTCATTAGGAATGTACAGGATTACGCTATTTCTTGGTATTATTAGGGTAATATTTTCAGTAATTTTTCATTCGCGTCAATGAAAGAAGTAGCAAAATGGACAAATCATTAGTAAAACTGTAAGGAGAATACAACGGATACTCTTTTAGAGTTTCGGTCAAGACAGGTGCGTTTCGAAGTGGGCCGAATTCACAATAACTTCTCTTTCGCGAGTGCGTTTTTCCGTTGGTCAACGGGCATCAGTATTAAGTACCGTATGATGATTAGCTGGAATAATGTCTTACGAAAATGTTTTGTGTAAAACAACCAAGTTAATACAGGTCGTGATCTTTTCTGTGTGGACTTCTGAGTGACATAATAAAATTTAGCGTCTCTCTAGTGCAATGCCAACCTTTTTTGTGAAGAGACCGAATGATTTTTTTCGTGGCTTCCCGCTATACGTAGATATATGCGATTTTCTGCATTCGATGCTCCTCACGACCGACGGGACTTCGCAGAACTGATTGAATTGCGAATAAAAAGAATATGTGATACAGACACTCGGAAAGTAGATGGTCGTTTTCTTTAATAACTGCATTTTCACTTCACACGCCTCGTTGTTATGCTGTGAAAGAACAATTTACGGAAGCCAGTGGACTAAGTGGTGCGGATGCGGTGAATATGGCCAACAGTGTATCACTCACTGTCCGAGCTTTTGCCGCCGAAGTCCGACGGGCGTAGTGGCCTCGACTTGTCCGTGTAAAGGATGCGGTATGGAAATGCGATACGGGGCGTCGGCGGCACTTTCCAGAATCCGCTCTCGTCTGTCGAAAAATGGTGATAACGGAAATTCACTTTATACTCGGGCAGTCGTACAGTCACGTATTGTTACGGGCTTACTGCTTACATTTGCTTAGGAAGGCGAAGATGGGTGGGTCTATAAGTGTGGTGTTGAAAACTGCAAGCTGCCAATATCAGTTCATACCACTGACTGGTACTGGCTGCTTGTCAAATAGTGAGCTTTACAAAGGTGCGACCATTCTAAAGTGGTGGTGTACTAAGACTAAAATTCGTCGAGCACTCACAGAGTCGTCACAGAATTATCCCAGTCTTTCTAGTGTATATGTTGCGAGTGTTAATCGACTACATCTTTCGTTTTGGTATGGTACAACGATCGCCGTAGCTGCAGTCTTGTTTCAAACGCGCGTGTTTAAAGTTGGTGACGAAGAAAACGGGAAAAATATGGGAGGTCCTGAATCTCCCTGTTAAACCGACAGTTCATGAAGCAACATCTCATTGCAGCCAGCTGCCGACTCGACACGCTGCCGAAGCACCTTAGGATCACCCACGTGGCACTGAGTATGAAACATGCATGTCATCTTACCGACACGAAATACAAAGAAAAGCCTAGTGTTCACCCAACATTTACTTTTATTTTTTTTTTTCAGAGACTAAATGAGTTTACACAGTATGGAAGCTACGGAGGCATGTATGTTCATTTTCCCAGTCAGAGCTACGCCATGCCAATAAGAAATCACAAGAACACAGCTACACGAATGGGGAGTTTAAGCTATGGTCTCTTTTCTCCTCAGCGTTGTCATTTAGTATTTAGGCCTTCCTCCTCAAACATCTAGAAATATTTTACATCTTTTTGAGAGCACATATGACACTAATAGGACAGAAAGGTGGGCTAGTTGGTAATTCATGATTGTTCAGTGAACTGGGAGCGCGGTAGTAACACAGATACGAAGCAAAGAGCGCTCAACTAACAACTCAGTTGTTAGTTGAGCGCTCGTGCTGTGTTCTTCTTCTTTGCTTCGTGTCTTTGTTACTCTCGCGCTCCCAGTTCGCTGAACAATCATACATATGACACACCTGATAAGTTTTGACCCCCGATTTCTTGAAGTGTCCCGTACTTCAAGCGCGTGAGTTCTTTTCCACATTGATCTCAATAAAATACCACTCCCTAGGTAATTTGGCGTAGGTGATATTATTGGAAATAGCAGCCAGCGTGGAGATGCCGATTTACGTACCTGGCAAGGGCTTGTCGGGCGAAATGGCTCCTGCATAAAATAAGATGGCTGTTGAATATGAATATTTCACGCATAATAATATCCACTCGTCTCCACGAAGGGAATCTTGGCGTGTGGGCGAAGATAAGGTGCCTAATATCTAAGTTGAAGTCGCCGGCTATTATAAGGAGTTTGTGCTTGAAGGTGTTTATATAGTTTCGTCGCTATACGATTAATAATAATCTATTGCTAAACCTTTCTTTAGTGTCTCACATATGTTACCAGAGCAGTGCCCCATATATAACGGAAATTGAGTGACATAGTGATATAAAACGTCCACGACAAAGTTCGGTCCTGAAGTCTGTAATGTTTACGTTTAAGTTGCCGACAAGTACACATGGTTTGTGCTAGGAGGGGTTTTGTATGTTTTGGTCACAATTATGATCGTTCCTTCACCGTAAACCTTTATTATTCACATACACACATGATTATCGACTACAGCAAGCATTTTCTATACACACTGACAACGCACAGTGAGCGTCAACGACAAAGCTATGTCATAAGGTGTGTGACGTGTACATTAATGTTACCAACTGTATAAATGGTTTGTGCATCCAGGTATTTACACAGTTTCGTCACAATTATGATTGACACTATTGTATTGCTGAATCTTTTGTGTCTCACATCAGCACTGCTACTCATGACGGACATGGGTGTGGACGGACAAGCCTGGACACTAACGTGCTTCGGCCCTAAAACTTGAGCTCATTCGGTCGTGAGACACAGCCTTCAGCGCAGGCTGTGTACTCCCAGGCTAGCGTTTTGATAAAGATAATCAATGATCCCCTCAGTAAGCTCTATGCGTAGATGCTTCAGAACAGAAAAATAATAGGGTTTCTGAGAGCCTCCGCTTGGGCTCGGAAACAGTCATTGCAGGGATTGTATGAGTGCTGGGGCTATATTGAATAAAAAGAAAAGGAAGGAGCAGGAATAGTCGTTCATTGTAGAAAAGGGCAAGAACATCACCTCTCCTCTCTCTATTCGATATATCTCACTGTTCAGAACACCGCAGATT